CCCCCCCCCGCCCCGCCCCTGACTGTGACCTGGCCGAAGTCCAGCCTGCTGGCCCTGCCTGAGGAACACACCCAGGGACAGACAGAGGCCCTGTAATGCCCGGCCCAACCCACACGCTGTGCTTCCTTAAGCCCTCAATCACTAGGTGTCGTAGAGGGGCCCCACACCTGGGGCCAGGCCAGTGTGGTTAAGAGCTGACAGTGAAAGCAGCCTTGCTGACGATTTAGCTCAGTGGTGCTGCCACCTGCCCTGCAATCACAAGGTCCCAAGTTGGAGACCTGGTACAAAAAAAAAAAAAAAAAGCCTTAAAGCTGAAAACCTACCTCTTTCCTAATCCTGCAGGCTGACAAAATACATCACAATTACAAAACTCTCAAAAAGTAACCACTCTGGAAAAGTCTTAACAAAGCTCGAGTTTATTAAGAATTAAAAATACTGTAAATAGGCCATACAGTTCATTTCACAGTAAACTAAACTATTTTCCCCCCTTTCTTTTACTTTTCAGGTATTTTTTTGTTTTGGAGTTTGTTTGTTTGTTTGGAAGGGCAAGACAGTCATTAAAGCAGCTCAAAAAGGAAGGGGTGCAAGAAACATAGAAATACAGGGGTCTTCTCAGGCTGCAGACCTCTCCACCCACACCCCTGTTAAGATGCGGCCCAGGGAGGCCATGGACAGCACTCGCCACTTCCTGAAGGGCTGCTCCTTCCTGGGGTTCTGACGCTAAGTCCTGGGCACCTCCCCACGCACTGGCACAGCTCGGGGGACTGGGGCTGCACTGCTGCAGGCTGGTGCTTTGCATAGTTACCTTCGAGGGCGCCAGAGGGCTGGGGAGGGGATGGATGTGCAGACCACAGGAGCCTTGGGCAGCCACCCTCCAGCAGCTGAAACGTTTAAAAGGAAGGAGAGCCCCGCCCGGCTCAGCTGGCACCTAGAACTTCTGGCCACTTTTAAGAGGAGGACAATGAGCAAGACGGGTGTCCCCAAACACTGGCAGGAGTAGGGGAAAAAGTAAAATTAATGTTTCTTAAAGACAATTAGAAATAAAAGTGCCGTCCCCACTTTTCTTTTTTTCTTTCAACTTGAAATCTCGGCCAGACAGGGTTTCTGAGGCTGGCGTTAATCTGCTTCTGTTAATCCTGGGCTAGGCCCCTAAGTCTGCCTGACCCCAGGCACTGCCTCCCAGAGCCCCAGCCCGAGACACCAGCTAAAGAGAGAAGCAGAGGCTCAAAGGACAGGTGTGTGGCGATCACTGAGAGTAAATTAACCAGGCACAGAACCGCAGGGTGGGGACCGGAAGTGGGGGCACCCCCGGGAGGAAAACTATACTTTTTTTGGTCATGAGAAAGACACCTGGAAGTGCTCACCCTGCACCCGCAGTTCTCTAGATCCTTTCGTAAATCTTTTCGACCTCTACGAACAACCTGTCCAGGTCTTTCCGCAGGCCCTGCAGCAGAGTGCTGGCGGATTCCAGGTTGTTCTCGTTCCTTTCAATCTTGACCGAGTACGCGACCAGGCTGTCCACAGCAGTCCTGAGCATCTTCAGGTCTGACTCCACCTGGCTCACCGAGGACCTGAGGCTGTCCAGCAAAGACAGCTTGTCCAGCAAGTCCGGGCTCGGCGGCCGAGCGGCCGAGTCCTCCCTGAGCAGCGCGGTCACCTGCTGGCCCAAGCTCCTCTTCAGCTCCTCCACGTCGCCGGAGAGCACCAGCTGCGCCTCGCCCAGGCTCTGCACCGTGCTGGCCAGGCCGTCCCTGTCCGCCTCGGGCCCCGGGCCCTGCAGGCGGCCATGCAGTGCGGCCAGGTGCTCCTCCTGCTCCTGGCTCCTGGCCTCCAGCGACTGCAGGCTCTCGGCCTGGCGTGCGGCGGCCTCCTGCAGGGCGGGTACAGCCGACTCCATGCCCTGCAGCCTGGCTTCCAGGGCGTCCGAGTGTCCGGAGCCACCGTCCCTCTCAGCCCGGAGCTGGCGCAGCTCCTCCTGCAGCCTCCTGACCTCATCCGGGAGGTGCAGGGAGGCCTCCTCGGAGCGCTGCAGCTGCTCGCCGAGGGCCCGCAGGGCCAGGCGCTCAGCCTCGGCCGCCTGCTTGAAGGCCTGCTGCTCCTGCTTGAGGCTCACCAGCTCCCGCACCTCAGCATAGACCTCGGCCTCCAGGGCCTGCAGGGAGCCGCGCAGGGCTGCCAGGTCCTCAGCGCGGGACTGGGCTGAGCCCTGCATCTCCTGCACCGAGGCCTCCAGGGCCTGCAGTTCCTGCCTGTTCCCGCTGGACTCCTCCAGCGCAGCCAGCTTTGCCTTCACCGCACTGATCTCCTCCTGGCTCCGCTTCTGCACGTCGGTGAAGACGGCGATGTTGTCGTTGATGGACCGGGTGAGCTCAGTCAGCCGCTCCTCCACCGTGTGCCCCAGGGCCGTGAAATCCCGCTCGCGAGCGTCCCGCACCACATGGATGCCGTCTGACAGGTCCTTGAGGATCTCGTTCTGCAGCTTCTGCAGGACCTCGCCGATGCGGCCCATCTCACTCTCCCCTTGCTTCACGGCCTTCTCCGTGAGGCCCTGCTTGTGCTGGGAGCTGCGCAGCGCCGACTCGAGTGTCCCCAGTGTGGCCTGCAGCGACTGCACCTGTAAGTCAAGACCCAGAAGTCAGCCGCCGCGGTCCCAACACACCTACTTCCTGCTCCATCTGCCCAGCCCCGGGGGCGCCTCTTTCTAGGGGACCCCCCTTCATGGGCAGGACACACGACTGTGGAGACCAACTGTTGGACCCGGCCAGGCACCGCAGAGAAGCAGTTCCCGGGTCGGGCATTCAGCACTTCCACCCGCCACGCCCAGCCCAGTGTGGGCACCAGCTGGAGGCAGATGAGCCCAGCACTTGGGAGGCGGCAGCAGGAGGACCCCGTGAGTTCCGGGCCAGCCTGAACTAAAAAACAAAACAAACAAAATAAAAACCTTAATAATAAGAAAGCCTTATGGTGAAACACCTCCAACGTCCATCCGGAGATTCCCAGCACCATTTTCAGCCCCCGGCCAAAGGGCCAGGGGAGAAACAAACTTCATCTGCAAGGCTGCTTGGGGTGCTCCGGCTGCACCTGGCTTCTAAAGGTGATTCCTGACCCGGCCCTGCCCTGAGGCAGCACACGGGGCTGCCCCTCCCGGCCCACAGAAGAAAGAGGCACTGAGCATGTGGCCAGCTGACCCACACTGCACAGCTGCGGGATAAACGGACCTGGGCTCCACCGCTCAACAGCGCAGGGACTGAAAGGGGTCAAGACAAGAAACTGCTAAGCTCACAGGCTAGGATATGTGGGTCTCAGAGGCTCTACCAACCAATGTGCAATGATACCCCTGAAGGGTCTGGGGTTGGACTGGGGTTACAGCGTTTGCCTCGCACACACAAGGCCTTGGGTGCAAACCCTAGTACCACAAAGCAACGAAGGGATGAGCACCGGGTCCACAGGCAGAACACAGATCCTCCTCTGGACACTTCCTGCTGTGTCTAGAGGGCCCTACGCTGTCCTCAGCTCCACACTGAAGCAGTGGACAGACTGACACTGGGGAGGGGACATGGACAGGGGCCTGAGCCAGCTGCTGACCATCTGCATTTACCAGGAGGCCACGCCTGCAGGCTCTCGTGGCCCTTGAGGCTCCATCGGTGATTTTACAAGAGCAGAGTACAGTTCTCGGGGCTCCAGGACATGAGACAGGGTGCCTGCCTGATCGGACAGGACCCCGAGAAGGGGTACAGAGAGCGCATCTCGAAACGCACAACACACAGCACCCACCAGTTTACACACAGGTGTTCCCTGAGGGAAGCAAAGGAAGACCGTCACCCCTGGCTGTCACCCCTACCCTGAGGTAGCTCTTTCGAAAGGGATTAGATCAGAAAGAAGGGACAAAGCCCCACACTATAAAAGACTGGTGTTCCAGTCCTGAGGGGCAGCAAGTCTTCCACCTTTGTGTGCGGACGCCAAACACTGGATCTGTGTCCTCCCAACACCTGAGAAGCCCCTGTGTCACCGAGGCTGGAGAAGCTGCCAGAGACAAAATAAAGGCTGGAACAGGGTCCCTTCCTTCCTCCAGGAGCCCCTGGGGTGAGGCGGAAGGATGGGGTGCTAGGGCTGGCTGACGCAGACACTCACTGTGGCCAAGAGCTGCCAAAATGCCGCAGCAGGGCTGGGCCTCACACCCCCAGGCTGTCTGATTGGGGGAACCTGAGCTCCAGCTGTCCTGGGACAGCCTGGACAGAAGTGCAGGTGTGTTCACAGGGCCCTGGGTACCCGGAAGAGGGGCTGTGGACCCCAGAGTTCTGACTCCCCGGACAGAGGATCCAGGCAGGAAACAAGGACATCCAGAGGCAGACTCTCCCACATCCCCTCTGGTTGAGCCGCACTGCCCGCCTGAGCCCCCTGCAATCCCTTCTTGCCGCTCTGGTCTGACAGGGCACATGGGGCCCTGAACTCTGCACGCTCTACCCAAGACCTGGACCCACTTGTGTCCAGGCCACCCTACTGCACAGAGAGAGCTGGGAACTCCAGGATCCTGACTCGGCTTCCTGGCCCATGCCACGGTGCTGCCAAGTGGTGCCCACCTCAAGAGTGGCCGGGAGAGCCGAAGCTGAGTCCCAGGCCTGGCCCAGTGAACGCTACTTCCGAATCAGGCGCTGCTGTAAATGCAGCTCCCTGCAAAGAACTGAACCTCACCATACCCACACTACACAGGGCCCCAAGCCTCAGCTGCCAGAGAATCTTCCTCGGTGCAAGGTAACTCCCTTCCTTCCGGCCACCTGGCAGCAGGCAGAGCAGGCTCACACTGCGGCCAGACAACACTGTTGGGGCACTGGGTTCCAAGTCAGTGCAGCGAGTGTTTACTGAGCACCTACTGCAATGGAGGAAGACCATGACACCACCAGCCACACAGGGACAAGGCGTCTAGGACTTCCACCACACTTTGAATCCTAGCCTTGCTGTTCCCTAGCTCCTCGCTGTGCGCTGTGCTCGAGGGCCAGTGGGTTGACACTGCACTCACTCCTGGAACTGGGCTGGGGGGTGAGAGACGGCAGAGAACCTGCACACAGGAAGTGCAACACACAGGGCAGTGGGTGACAGCTTGACCACACCACTACCTGCAGAGAAGGGCGGCCACTACCTCCACGGCTCTGGGCGTCTAGACCGAGCCCTCCTTTCACTTGGCAGGTGGGAAACTGAGGTCCAAAGAGGAACGTGATCAGCACCCGGCTGTGCCAGATGAGGGACTAAGGCAGAGACGGGAAGCACTCACAGGGTGGATTTTCAATCCCTCCAAGCTGGATTCCAGACACCCTCTGTGTCCTGGGCCTCCACCTCCCACTCCCCCGCCCCCTTCCTGGGCAGAACGGCCCCTCATGGGGTCCTGCCTGTGGCTCCCATTTCCCCTCCTCATTACCAGCCAGGAGGGGCCCTGCCCAGCCGTCCACCCAGGGAGTCCACACCCTCCCTCTTCCCAAGCCACGTCTGTGCGCCCACAAGTTCCATTGCAGCTCCAGCTCCTCCCACCTCCTGGGCCCCGACATTGAGACTTCAGTAAATATTCTGACCGACTGTCAAGGAGGAGGAAAGACAGGAAGCAGGCTGGTGCTCAGAGGGCAGCAGCGTTTTGAGGATGATGTGACAAGCGGCATGGGCAAAATAGCAAAGCCTGCTCTGCCCTTCCACAGTCCCCTCCCTTGGCCTGAGGCTTTTCGAAGGCTGACTCATGCCAGTCGGAGAGGAAATTCCTGCTCCTCACACTCCGCAAAGTGGGGACTTGGCAGGCATGAGGCCTGCTGGGAAAAGAAGGCAGTGGTTCTGGGATCTGTAGTGGCGGGATTTTTTGTTTCGGTCTCACAATCAACTTTCCTTGTGCAATGACACGCACCCAGGGTGGCGGGGCAGAATGTGAAGGAAGAGGCTGCAAGTAGCTCTGGAAAACCCACAGAAGGTGGAGGCCAGGAGCTGGGTTCCCCCTACCTGAAGCGGGGGACCCCTCCACTGGGCAGGGGCCCAAACTGCTCATCGACCTGCCCCTCCCTGGCTGGGGCTTTCTCTCTGAACCTGTTTTCTAGTCTGGAACAAGAAGTCCAGCCCATCCGTCCCTCTCCAGTCTCCCTCCCGCAGCTACTCTGAGGATCAGCAGGCACTGTCCCTGACCTTTCCTTCTTCCACGGTGCAGTGGGCTGGCTCCTCCGCAGACCCACAGGCCCACCGGCCAAGGGTAGCATCAGGCCTCAACCCTGCCAGAACTTCACCTGATCTTTGCGTAAGACCTAGGGCGGCCTGGCCCTCCTCGGGCCCAGGCTCCCCAGGACACCGGCCTCCCGCCCATCCTCTGTCCCTTCGGTCTGTAAGGAAGGGGGTCCGGGGCGGGCGGGCTGGCGTC